TGTACATCGGCTGGGTCCTCGAGGTTCACGTCGTCCGCTGGGCCTCCGCTCTCGTTTCCTGGCTCTTTGGACACACCCACCGTGCATTTGAGAAAGCCCATCTCGGTTCAGTTTCCCAGAGCGCTCGGTCTCTATTTGGGGGGTTTGCCTCGTATTCGGGTATCGTCACAATCAAACTGTCACGTCGAGTTACCTGCATTCAGAAGTACCGCGGAGTGTGCATCTAGGTGGCAATGGACTCACCTCTAGATCTCCAGAGGGTTGACCCCGAAAACTTCGACTCAAGAGGGATTGGGCCGTTTTCCTCTGATAGGGCTGCTGGGGGCGCCATCATCTTTATCACCCCCTCGCTCCGCGGGGGTTCAAGTATTGCAGATACGTCGAGCGCGTTGAGTGGCGAGTCCAGTCGCTGACTATTGGTTGCAGCAGAGGCCCTCTCCAGATTCCCAACCTCCATCTCGACCTCGTCCTCCCTCTTAGCGAGCAGAAGCGCCAGCGCATGGTCCTCCGTCGTTTCCTCCTCCCTGCTCGCGCCGCTGCCAGTTGTGTGCTCGGAGATTTCAACTGTCCAGCCCTTGGGGGGGCCTCGTTTCATACCAGTGGGGTGTGCAAGTGCTCGCGCAATGATGCAGGTCGAGCAGTCCTCCCTCACGCACCGGGTCGCCCAGGAGATCGAGGGTTCCCCAAAGGTTGATGAGTCTGAGCACCGGGCAATCTCATGTGGTGCTATCGCGAGCTTTCGTGTCCTGGTGCTGCACGCTGCCTCTTCGGTCGGGCTCGCTCCTTCTTGCTCCCCGTGAGGCGCGTGGAATGTGGCGACTTTGCGTTTCGACTGATGGCCCTGGAGATGGCCTGATTGATGGTTGTCTGCAAGTGTTCTAAGCTAGCGCTCCTCTCGAACCGGTGACCACTTTGTAACATTCCAGTTGAGTGTATTGGTTTGGGTACGCTGTGCTTATTACAAGTACTGGCTGTTCGACAAGCGGCGGTCGTCTATTACTTGGCCTGAGCTTGAGCTGCGGGTTGCCTTCTTTCTTTGTGTCTTTTCCTCCCTTTCTCTTTGCTCTTCCGCTCTTCTGCTTCTCGTCCTCGTCCGCTCTTCACGCGTTTTCTTTTTGTCTTGTCATCTCTACTCTTTGCTCTTCCGCTCTTCGGTTGTCGTCCTCGGCCGCCTCTTCGCTTTCGTTTGCCTCTCTCTTTGCTTTGTAGCTTTCGCCACCTTTTTGGCCCTTTTCCGCGCCACACTTGCGAGAGCAGGGCTTGCGCTTCTTCTTCTTCTTCTTCTTCGATCTCTTTCTGACGACGCGCGGCTGACCGCGTCGCTCGCGAGCAAAAAAGTATCCCACAATCCCATCCAGAAACGATTACCAGGTGAGTTGGTTAATCAGAGACGCCTGGAAACACGCGGTCGCACAACCGCTTTGGAAACGCCCACATTGGGCTGGCAGTACCCAAGGGCCCAAAAACAAAGACCACTAATAGCTTCGCGCAGTGAAGCTTAAGGAAGAAATCAGTGCAAGATGCGCCACGGTGTTCCCTATGGGAAACGTGTCTGGCGCAGGTTTCTGTATCTACGGTCTGACGCCAGTGTTGCGCAGGGTCGAGTTATATGTGTAGTGAATTGTAGTGAATTGTATATCAGGCTCGCGGGCGTTCTGGAAATTGTGATGCCCGTGAGTTGGAAGATCTCTTGTAGCGAAGGGTGCCCGTGGAGCTGTAGGTGATGGTATCATTGGTGTTGTCGTTGTAGTTTGTGCTTCTGGTGCCGCTACTGTTGGTGTTGATGTTGGTGGTGCTGCTGGTGCTGCTGGTGCTGGTGATGCCTGGGGCCATATTGGGGGTAAGAGTAGGAGGGGGAGGAGGAGGAGGAGGAGGAGGAGGAGGAGGAGGAGGAGGAGGAGGAGGAGGAGGAGGAGGAGGAGCACGTAAGGGGGACGGGAAGGAGGAGAAGGAACAGGAGGAACGCGGCGCGAGGAGGATGAAGAGGAGCAGGGAGGCGGCAGGAAAGAAGCAAGGAAGGAACGGACGATGACAAGGAGGACGGGAAGCCGGGCTTTGGGGATATGTCGTGGTGAGGGGTTCTTCGAAGACTTGCATGCCATTTGGGTGCCATCTTGGGGCCCTCTTGGGGTCCTCTTGGGGCCTTCTTGGGGCCCTTTGAGGGCTCTCTTGGGAGGTCTTGGAGCCCTCTTGGGGCTCTTTGGGTGGGTCCGGGAGGCCTCTTGAGGCCGTCTTGGGTCCCATTGTTCAAAAAGAAGGGGGTCTTAATTCCCATCGCCCCCGCGGAGGCTCAAACTCTTGGGGGCCCTCTTGGCCCGCTCTTGAGGCTAACTTAGGCCGTCTTAGGGCCATTTTGAGGCCTCAAAGGCACATCGGAGGCGAAACAGCGAGAAGGCCAACAACATTGCTGTCCCGTAGGTTTTTGGAAGATTTTGGCCTCTTGGGGGCGTCCTTGGAGGGCTCGGAGGGCACATGGAAACGTCTCGGGGACGTCTTGAGGCCTCTTGGATGTGCGTCGGAGGCTATCTTGAGCCATCTGGCGGTATCTTGGGCGATCTTGGAGGCCATCTTGGGCTATCTAAAGCCCTCTCGGAGCCATCTTGGGCCACCTCGCGGGGGAGCCCGTCCAGACCCACGGAGGGGCGGGGGAGGTAAACCTCCCGAGCAGGGAAAGAAGGGAGTTTGGAAAAGGAATCGCCCTAGACCACCTGTGCCCAGAGGGCTGGTGGGATTGTTCCGCTTGGAGAGCTCAGCGAGACGGCTGGCGAGGACCTGATGAATGCGGTCGGCATATGCGCCGACGACTTGACGTTTGAAGCTCGTGGGAAGTATATGGGGATTACTCTGGGCCAGGACGGACGCGAGGTTCCCTGGGCTGCGCCATCGACCAAATGCGCCTCCAGGGCTCATGATGTCAAGAGTCTGGGGCTGGGGCTGTGTACTTCCATGGTTTGCTACAGCGTTCTTCATGTATCGGTCTTCTCGCGCGTGGTGCGGTTTTCCCCGCCGGCGAAGCGAGCTTTTGCAGCTCTCAGGAACGTTCAGCAGAGCCTCGCGAATGCGCCTGACAACTGTATCTTCCAAGGTCTCCTTCAGAATCTTCGTTCCTGGGGCTCCCCGATGCCAGCCAGAACGCTCGGGCCTGCCGCGCGCGCCGCTTTGCGCCGCGCCGCCGCTATCTCGAGTGAGTTCCAGCAGGCCAAGCAGTTGCGTGATAATGAGGATGATGACGACGCGCTCTTCGGGTAGAAGCAGAAGCCTGTCTGGCTCTCCGCCTCCATATTCCACCTCATCAACAGTTGCGATTCTCTGAGCCAGCTCCCGACCATGCCGCCTTTCGGGCCCCCGAGATTCCAGAGCGAGTCAGAGGCCGCTGCCTCTGCCCTCCAGCCATTCTCCCTCCGCTCGACACTGTTCAGTCGCCTCGAAACGTGCGGACCTCCCCACTGCCCGCGCCAGCTTGATCTCGCGCGTCTAACTTTGCAGCGCGTCGCCGCACGAACCCCCGCTTGTAGCGGAATCAGTCATGTGCGTGCCCTTCGTAGCGCGTTGTGCGCCACCCGTCGTTACCGATGGGGTGACTGAGCCCTGCAGGTTTTGTTTTCGCGCCGATTCTGATAGCGTGCTTCCTACTTGAATTGTCGGGTGCACCTCGCACATCGTGCTGTTTCTTCCCGATCTTCCTGTCCAGTCCCGCTCGCTCTCTGCCGGTGCTCGTGCCTCTCTGTTCCCTCCTGCTGCCTCTCGGCCGCCATCAGTTTTTCTCTGCCGCTCTCTATCTTGATGTATGCTTGAGCGGCCTGGCGCGAATTTCAAGCGGCGGCCCCGTGCCGCCCCGAACGTGGTGCGGGCCCGCTTCGCCAGCATCGGGGAGGCGCGCCTCCGCCAGCTCCGCAGGCGGGCCCCGTTCGCTCTCTCTGCGGTGCTCCTGCCTCGAGGATGACTGGAGCCTGTCGTCTCGCCGTCGTCGGCCGTCCTCCTGGGGCCGCGCGCTCCTTCTCATTGTTTGACGGTGGCCCGACTCTAAGCATCGATGCCTGCAGCGCTCGTGGAACATGGCGCAGCAAAAACCGACGTAGCGTTGTGCTGGACAACCCAAGGCGAATCAAGCGGCAGGCCCGTGCGGCAAAGGAACTCGTTGGACGAATGGGAAAACATGAAAGCCCAGGAGGGCGCAGAGCAACGGGGCCTGCCATTGATGTGGAGGGGGACAGATCCTGAATATCATCTACGCCTTTTTTCGCCGAGAATAACACAAGAGGGGGGCTACCGAAGTGACGAAATGCGCCTGCAAGTGTAGCAAATGTAGCTGGCTGCTGCCTGCCATCCTTGTAGGCACAGTTCCTTGTGCCCCAGGCGGGTATACAGGGTGGCAAAGCAAGGCGGAGTAGAGTAAACTATTGGGTGTGCTGTTGTCGAGAGTCCACAGTGGGCGGGGCCATGGGGCTCTTCCCCTAGTTACCGACGTGCCCGAATGGCAGCAAGCAGCAAACAGCAGTAAAGCAGGAAAGGGCAAGTGTTGCTAGGAGACGGGGGCGCTGAAAGTGGGGCTCCTTGGGTGGTGCAGAGTCACTGAGCAGGGAGGGCCTGCACACGGATACCCAAGGCGGGGTGTTTCCTCCTCGTCCTCCTCCTCCTCCTCCTTCCTCCTCCCCCTCCTCCTCCTCCTCCTCCTTCTCCTCCTCCACTTCCTCTTCCTCCCCGTCAGCGGCGTCTGTTGTGCCGAGCCTCCCTCGACTCCATCGTGGAGCAGGCGCGACTGGGAAGGGAGATGGGGCAGGGTGGTTGTGATCTTGACTTCTTCCCTCACGCTCCGCCTCTGCCTCCTCCTCCTCCTCCTCCTCCTCCTCCGCCTCCTCCTCCTCCTCCGCCTCCCGCTCCTCCCTCTCCTCCTCCTCCTCCTCCTCCTCCTCCTCCTCCTCCTCCTCCTCCTCCTCCTCCTCCTCCTCCTCCTCCCGCCCTCTACTCTTTAGACCTACGTAGGTTTGTCCGGCCCTCCAGGGAAGCCCGCCGCGCCTTCCGCGCGAGTCCCAGCGGCGGACGGCGGGGGGCGCCCGCGCGGCCCCGCCCATGGAGGCGGGCGACGCCAGCGGCGCCAGGGCGGGCGACGCGGGAACCGTCGGGTGGGGCCGTCCTTGGGCGTTCTTGGGGGCCTCTTGGGCCTTCGTCGTCTTCTTCCTCCTCCTCCTCTTCCTCCTCCTTCTCCTCCCCGTTCTACACCTCCTCTTCCTCCTCCTCTCCTCCTCCTCCTCCTCTCCTCCTCCCTCCTCCTCCTCCCTCCTCCTCCTTCCTCCTCCTCCTCCTCCTCCTCCTCCCCTCCCCTCCTCCTCCTCCTCCTCCTCCCTCTCCTCCTCCTCCTCCTCCTCCTCCTCCTCCTCCTCCTCCTCCTCCTCCTTGGAAGCTCCAAAAGTCGACGACCCCAGAAACATTGAACAGCGTGGAGCAAAAGTAGATGACGTTGCCTTCTCTTCGCCCTCTTGGGAAGGCTCCTGGGGCTCTCGGCTCCACTTCGGTCCGATTCGATGCTGATTCTGTGCAGCCCGGTCCGATTCGATCCCGCTTTGTCGGCGATCAGATGCGGCCCGATGCCTGCGCGGCGTCGTTGTGCATCGTGGCGCAGCCGATCCGAAGCGAGTCGGGCTCCGCGCCGACGCGGCCCGATTCGGCGCGCATGCCGATCCGATCCGACTTCCGCTTCGACTCGGCCACGCGCAGAGGGGGTAGCGGGAGGGGGGAAGGCTTCTTAGAAGTACCCCTGCTTCTTAGAAGGCGCGGGACTCCTCTGTACATGTAAGGCCGGCGCCTTCCAAGGAGCCTTCCCCCCTCCCCTTTCCCCCCCTCTGCGCGCCGCCAATCGATGCTGACTGATCTGGTCGGGCGGAGGCGCGGCCACAGGCAGAGGCCGGCGGCCGGGAAGGGGCCCAAGCATCCGAGCAGCGCCGGTGCGCGGGGGAAGGCGCCCCGAACAATAGCACAAGGCATCCAGCGTGTGGGTAAGATCCCAGCGGCATGAAGCATGGGCAAAAAGGTATAGTGGAGGAGATCGCCACTGAGGCAAATCTCCCCCCAAACAGTAGTCCGACGACCCCAAGCTCTCCTCGCCTTCGCGAGGGCTCGGGAAGGGGCCCGCATCGGGCTCTTTACCTACGTGGGGGGCCGATGCGTGCGGCGACGCAGGTTTTTCATAGTTGGCGGCCTCCAGGGGCCCTGATTTACCGGGCCTTGGGGGCAGTCCAAAGCGACTCGGGATGTGAAGCCGGTCCTGGGGGAGGGGTCGAGGCGACGGGGGTCTGGGAGCGGTGGGGTCAGAGGAGGGCGAGCGGAGACGAGGGCAGTTGGCCTTCGGGGGTCAGCCTCGCCCCCACGGCTAGACGTAAGTCGGGCGTGTCCTTCTACAGGAGGAAGATGCAAGTATAGTCAAAGACAGTCTGGGGACCTTTTTTTTTGTGAGTGTTTTTTGGTATTTTGAAGGTCTGTTTGAGCATTGGTTGCATCTGCTTTATGTTTTCGTCCAAAATCCGCCTGTAGGGGAACATGCCCGACCTGAGGCTAGACGCTGCCGGCAAAACGTGTGCGTTTGGGCCCAGCGAGGTGTCCGGGGGTCGATTTCGAGCCGTGGCTGTCTCAGCCCGCCCTGCTCCGAGGGGTCACGGGATCTGAGCGCTGCAGTTTCATTCCCGGCGTTTTCGCCCTGCTTTGGGCCCCGGGACCTTCATGTAGGTCGATCCGGCTCTCAGCATGGCCCACGCGATTTTCCACGACGCTGTACTTTTGCCGACCATCCTGTGGTGTTGGGTCCTCGTATTGAAGAGACAGCGCCGCGCGTCCCTCCTCATCTCCTCCTTCCCCTCCTCCCTCCCTCCTCCCATCATCATCATCATCATCATCATCATCATCATCATAGTCATCGTCATCGTGATCGTCGTCATCATCATCATCAACATCATGGCCGTCATCATCATCATCATCATCATCATCATCATCATCATCATCATCATCATCATCCTCATCCTCATCCTCATCCTCATCCTCATCCTCATCCTCATCCTCATCCTCATCATCATCATCATCATCATCATCATCCTCATCATCATCATCATCATCAGCATCATCATGGCCTTCATCATCACCATCTTCCCAAGGGTACCCTTTGCATCCTTGCCTCCTCGGCCCATCCCTGGCCACTTGCGCTGGCCGCGCCCCGCTCGAAAAGCTTCGACATGGCTTTCCAGGGCCCTTGCCCTTGCATCCCTATCGTGCGTCTTTGTGGCATGGATTGACGAGGAGGAGGATGAGAAGGAGGAGGAGGAGGAGGAGGAGGAGGATGACCGCGGCCAGGAGGAGGTACTGCACCTCGCATCCTTATGATACGCGTGGACGCTACCGCTGCCGCTGACCTCCGCCCTCGTCGCCACGGCCGGGTGTTCGCCCAGGAAGGTCCCGGCCAGAGCGCGAAACCCAGGAGAGGCCCGGGGGAGGAGCACGCGCCGGTCGTTGCAAGCGGGTATGAGTCTTCGGGTATCCGGAGCCTAAGCTGCTTCAAGCGCCTTCTTACTTCAAAGGTCGACGTGTCTTCGCTGTCGTTGTGCTCTTCTCTCCGCGGGCCCAGGCCCAATGCGCACGATCCGCCGGTCGTTGAAACTGGGTACGGTCAGCCCGCAGAGTATTGTGGAGGACGAACAATGGAGAGGAAGCGTGTTGCCTTGTTATTTCCAGATGTCCAAAACATGCCTTAAGCATGTTTTAATAATGTTTTAAACATGTTTAGAACAGGCCTCCTACATGTTACGCACATGTAACATTCAATGATAGGGCTGTTAGGGTGTCCACTGTCGTGGCATCCACAAGCATAGCATGGTAGGGATGAACGAGTTTCCAAGGTTGCCCTTGCAGGCTTCACCTTCGGCCCCTCCTCGGCCGCTCTCGCTGGCCGCGCGGCCACTCGGAAGGTGCCGACATGGCCTTCCAAGGCCCCTGCACGCTTGCCACGCATCCTCTCTGTGCGGGTCGGCCGTATCCTTGGACGTCCAGAGCCCGAGCTGCCTCTCGAGCGCCTCCTTACCTCAGAGGTCGGCATGCTTCTGCCGTCCTCTGCCACTCCCTTGGCGGGCCCAGGCCCAATGTACCTGGTCTGCCTTCCTGCTCCATGATCTTGTGGAGGACGATCAATGGAGAGGATGCATGTTGCCATGTAAGTCCCAGATGTCTAAAACATGCCTTAATCATGTTTTGAGCATGTTTTAAACATGTTTAAAGCATAAAAAACATGCTTAACACATGTTTATAATATTTCCCCCACATGTTAAACACATTTAAAATTCAATGATCGGACTGTCAGGGTGTCCTCTGTCGTGGCATCCACAAGGCTGGCGAGTGAGTAGCGGTATCGGTGTCGTCTTGATCCCCCAGCTGCCGCCCTCTTCTCCGGCGGGTGGCTGTGGGGGCTGGCCCCTATATAGTGGGAGAAGAAAGCGGCCCTAAAGAGGCCCTTGTCTCCACCCGCCATTGAGGCCACCCCCAATTGCTCTTGGCCGCCTTGATGGACTCGGAGTAGATGGGGTCGGAGGATTGCTCGTCATCGCCAATGCATCGCCGATGCGGCTCTTTGTAGAGCCCGATTGCTTCACGTCGGCGTCGCCGATGCATCGCCGATGTCGGCGATGCATCGCCAGTGCATCGCCGGTGCATCGCCGATGCATCGCCGGTGCATCGCCGGTGCATCGCCAGTGCATCGCCGATGCATCGCCGATGCATCGCCCATGTATCGGCGATGTGGCGCGATCCTCCGATCCTGTCTACTCCGACCTCATTCAGGAGGCCTCGCTCCTCACTCCCGGACCTCCGGCGTCGTGGTTTTGTGTGCAGCCTGGCTCCCCAGAGGGCTGGGCCCCTCCCCGGGGGCCGGACCTTCCATCTCACGGTCTGCGGGGCCCGGAAGGGGCGGCCAGAGGCTCGGCCCCGCGCAGCGGCGGGCAGGGGGAGGGGGGAAGGCTCCTCAGAAGCAGCCTCCTCCCGAGAAGCCCTTCCCCCTCCCCCCCTCCCCCCCCTGTGCGCGCCGCCAGAGCAGCTCCCGTCGGGCTTCTCTTTCCTCCCACGACGCGAGGAGGTCGGGGCAGACGGGCTCAGGGGGGCTTCTATATGATCCCGAGGTGTTCACAGCCACCCCCAGATGGGATGGGCCTTGGGGTTCCACAGGTCCCGACGACGACGACGACGACGACGACGACGACGACGACGACGACGACGAACGACGACGACGACGGCACCGCGGCACCACCCCACCGCCCCCAGGGAAGGGGCGGGGGCACCGGCCGCCCCGTCCACCACGCCACGCCCACAAGGCCATGACCACGGGGGAGGGGGGCGATTCCAGTCGCGAGGCCTTCGCGAGGCTCACGGGCGCACCTATCCAGCGGTGCGGGAGGGGGTCGATCCCCTTAATATTGGAGGTGGGGGGTGTCCGTACTCCTTGATCATGAGTCCGACAGGGCTTCTTAGAAGCTGGCCCGAGAAGCCCTCTGCCCCCTCAGAAGCCTCCCCCCCCCGCCGCCTCGCCTGGCGTTGCCGTCCTCTTTGTGCGCGCCGCCAACTTCCTCTGCCGCGAGCGGCACAGGGCCCCAGACCTCATTCAGATGTTGCTCAAAAGTATGTTTTTGTTGTCATCCGTTTTTTCGGGTTTCGGCCAACCAAATGGGGCGCTAAAGCACGCGGCGGCCCAAAACATGACAAGATATAGCGTGCAACACGGAGCCGAACCAAAAACGGCGCGAACGAGAATCCCCAACTCCCACACAAGCTAAGACTCTTCCAACATGTGTGAAGCAGTCGATCTTGAAAACGGGGGAAGAAACGTCCCCAGCGCTTTTAACGTCATGTAGGGGTGGAGGCACTCCGCCAGCTTGGCCCCCTCTCCCTGGGGTCCCGCTCCAGCAAAGGAGGCGCCCTCGCCCGAGCCTCGGGGGCCGGAGCGCGTTGACGCGTTGTAGCTCCTCTTTTTCGGCGGAGGGTTCGCGGAAATTTCGGTCCGCGGGAGCAGAACGGGGGTTGATTCTTCCAGTGGAGGGGGAGGAGGAGGAGAAGGAGGAGGAGGAGGAGGAGGAGGAGGAGGAGGAT